ACGCACTTTTTAAAAAACATGTTTCTACTGTGGAGTCCCTCCTAACCTTCCTACCCGACCTAAGGGGTCTGGTATAGATTAGGAGGGGGGACCCCACGCTGTTTTTTTTTTCTTTTTTAATAACAATGCCATTTTTTTTAAAAATGTCAATCCTGCTGCAGGAGATTCTATACACAGTCTATGTACAGATGTGCAACTTTGCAGGGAGTTTATGGGGACCCCCGAGGCATGATATTTAAGGGGATTTTTAATTTTTTTTTTTACTTGAAGCAATGAAAAATGACTGCCTCTTTAAAAACTGTACTTTTTGAAATTTTTTTTTTCACTGATTTATATCCCTCAGGGCAGTAACCGAGTCCCCATACTCCTTTTATGGCCAATAACTTGCATATAGGTCTTCAAAATGGGCACTTTTGAATTTACAAATTCTGGTCCCATAGACTGTCGCAGTAGAACTTTCTTTAGGTTCAAATGTTCTACCACAAACTAAACAGGGGGTATTCAGACCATCAATAATTACAATACAGTTCAATACAGAAGGAATAGGAGGGTCCTACTCATGGAGCTTACAATCTAAAGGGAGGGGAGGAATTCTCTGCATTAAGATAAAAAAAACCTTCCACTCCCTCTCTTCCTTCCCCCCTGCTGTGTGAAAGAAGTGCTGTTCTTTCTTCTTGGTCTTACAGGAGACTCTCAGAGCAGCAGGAGCCAGGGACCAGGGGGCATTGCCCATGGCTTGCTGATAAGGCACTCAGAGAAGAAAAGAGCGGAGAGCACCAGCAGGAGACTCCAGAAGAGGAGGTAAAAGACCCCTCTGTGCAATACCATTGCACAGAGCAGTTAATGTGATTCTAAAGGCTATAATTTTTTTTGTAAAAAATAACAAACATTTTCTACTAACCTGCTCTGTGCAATAGTTTTGTACACAGCAGCCCCAATCTTCTTATTTTTGAGTCCCCTAGCTCCTCCCCACTGCCGAGTGTCCCCAATAGCAAGCCTCTTACTATTGAGGCACTCGAGTAGGCTCGCTCCCGAGCCATGCTCCTGTGAATGGACCTTGTCTGGCCCTGCCCTGTGCTCTTTCTTCATTGGCTCACTGGCTGCGATTAAGCCGCAGCTCTCATGCATGTCACTGGCTGTGACTGAGCTGTGGATTTCATGCACATCACTTGACTGAGATGGGATTTAGGCAAACATTGGGGGGGGGGGGGGGGCTGAGGGGGAAGGTTTTATGCTTTTTACTTTAATGCATGGAATGCATTAAGGTAAATAAGACATCTGCCTTTAGAACCATTTTATAACATGTATAACAGGTTTTGTTATTTTAATGAAAAAATTTAAAAAATGGTTTAGAAGCACTTTAAAGGGTGTTTTTGTTTCATATATACCTGAAGTCTGGATTTAAGTTTTGCACTGAGAACCTTTTTTCCCTTTCTTGTATACATTTAAGGTAAAATTTAGGTGTTTTCCATCATTTTTTTCCTCTTCTTGCGAAGAAATGAAAGTTAGAACATTTGAGTCTGGTGAACCTGATGTTTTTAAAAACTTTTTAAGAAAGCTTTTCAGTTATTTTTAGGTAAAACTTTACTTTTTAAATTGTGGGACTGTGACATGTATGTCATCTTGTACATCAAACTGAAAATGATCAGCAGCTTTTGCTTTTTCTACCCATTATGTTTTAGTAAAAAAAAGAGCTAGATTTATCAAAGAAGTCCAGCTGACCTTATCTGATTTCCCTAATCTAGTACAATCCCCTTGCTTTGGCTTACCCAGATGTTCAGCCTGGAGTGCTTAGCCCTCAGCAGAGACAAGTTTGTGATTCCTAATGAATACTAAGAAAAAAAAAAAAGAAATTCCATGAGGACAGTCAAGTCAGTTTTTCTGTACTCATACAGAGCAAATATTATGTGTTCCTTGACCCTATAATAGCTAATGACTTAGACACTGTAGACAGTCTGCCATTGCTAATGGACCTTTCTTAATGAACTGCCATTTAACTGTCTTGTCCTTGTGTGTCTGTGTTAGCAGATCACTTTGTTCAACCATCTTTCAAACCAGGGATGCTTTGTATCACAGCATACCATTCTACTAGATGTATTTTTGTTACATCTATATCTCTTTTGCTTAGTGTGGGTGTTTACAAGGCGATTACTGTTTGCAGGGTCAGTGTTAAAGACTGTAAAAGCTTTGAGGCAGGATGCTTTTTTCCCTCTCTTTACTTTATTCTCCACTGTATAACAGTTTCTCTATTACATCCCAGTGAATCTTGTAGTCTATTTGTATTTAGAACTTTGATCAGCACAACATGATAATTGCTTAAGATGGCTATTATCATATTAATAGTAGTAGTTTTTGGACAAATCAAAGCACCGCGTAGAAGAGGGAGGCAGTATCGCATTGTATGCCACAAATAATAGCATACGCAAGATCTGTCAAGATAGCTGAGGTTAATTAAGGATTCTGAAATTACAAATATGTTAATGTGTATTGCAGTATGTAGAACAAGTGTATTAGTAATGAAACTACGGGGAGACAAGTGTACATATCCAGTGTGTCCTGCATACAGAAATAAAAAAAAGACGCAAATGCCATATTAACTTGGTCTTTTTTGTTTCATGGGAGCGCATGGAAAAACAGATCTGCTTCGCTTCGTTACACCGTGGATACTTCTGAAGATTATTAATGCCAAACCTGCTTTTTTTATTTTATATTTTTCTTATTCTTTTAGAAATATTTTAACAAGTAGTAGGAAATAATTTAGGTGGAACGCCAATCAAACTCTTCTTTTTAGTTGAGATATTGTTGAGATGATTACGGTCTTTGTCTCTTTTTTATTGCTACCTGTATCATGTTGGAAAGTTTCTTGCACTCTTTCACCTAGAGCCATTATTCAGTATATATATATTCAAAATAGTTGTAAGTGCTAGATAGTTATGATAGATCTAAATATTGACAGTTGCTCTTTTGGGGATATTATTGGCAATCTCTTTGCTCTTAACTATGGTTAAAGAAGAATTTCAGCTATTGATATTTTATACATAGCTACATTGGTCCTGCTTGGACCGATCTAAATATGTGTATACAATACCTGGCCGATCCCCCTGGAAACTGGAAATAAATGAAGTAGACACTACTACTACTCCAGTGGTCTCCACTTGCTTCCCAGTCTTGTGCTGAGCTGCTGACCTGATGAATTATGAAGACAAGAGTTTGTCGCTCAGTACAGGCGCCATTCAGAGAATGCTTTGTATTTTCCAAATGAATGTCAAGCATTCACTGTCTGGGCAAGATGGAGAGTGTGATGTCACCACCCTGCCTCTCTGCCTGCCATGTTACCAGGATGGGAGATAATGTGAAATTTCTCCAACAGAGAGTTTCTCCATCCATCAGCAATGTTATTCTGTTGCCTTCTTGAAACAAGACTTTTGCTGCTTGTTCCACTCCAGCAACTGGACCATTTGACATTTAGCCCCATCACTGGCCATGGTGTTGACGCTCTTCATACTGAGTTGAGAGGTTTTTACAAGCGCTTCTTCCAGCAACTCTTGTAAATTTTTATTGTACTGAATAAATATGTATGCTTTTATTGCACAAGGTTGATGTTTTTTTTCCATTTTCGGTTTTGGAGGAGACTACAGCAGCAGCACAAATCAGCTTTCCAAAATGCAGAGAGTTTAAAGCATGCTGCTATATATCGGCACTGATTGCAGGTCCTCTTTAAACTTTTACTGACCTAATACTAAACTGATCACTGGTTGCTATGGTTCATATCCCTTGGCACATCATAAATGCCCTTCCTATTGCTTTACTGAATAAACTCTTCAGTGGCTAATTTTGTTTGTGCTATACACCAGAAGCTCATGGGCTTGACAAATGAAGAGCAACCTGCACACCCTAAAGAGTCATTTACCACCCCCTGACAGGCAGCAGAAGGAGATGCTGACTTAGTCCTTGGAGTTAAAATCAGTGCAGTAGTTTCTATGGACACAGCAACTGATCTGCAGCTCTTTACATTCCCAAAGTGGAGGCATAATAAAGAATAAATGCTGAAATGGGCTCTGGGTGATTAGCTTCAAATTACCATGTGCATAATTTAAAACAATTTAAATAGCTATAGCAGCATTCACATTAGACCTGTTGTAAATGTCTCATACTTGTTTTATTTATTTTTTTTTATTTATTTTCATACTCGGGAAACAGCTTGGTAATCCCAGCAAACAGAGAGACATAATGCATACATAGTATACTCTTTTAGCTAATTGTTAAAGGAGGGCTCCAGAGTTAGCCAGAATGGCTATATACATTGCATGGCTATGCTTTATATATGTTTGTAAACATATTGCCATAATTATTTTTTTGTACTGAAATCTGCTTAAGCTCTCAACATGCAAATGAGTTTTTTTTTAGGAAAATGAGTTGTTGGCACATGAATCATGAGTTCTCTCTGAGGACATAAAGGAAAGAAGAAATCGGAGTTCCGGAATCCCAGCATCTTAAAGACATGTGTTTTTGCTATTGCTGCTGCAGATCCTATACCTTCTATGTTGAAATCATTATCTATTGGCAAAGAAAAGAAAAAACATTTTTTAAGGAAAAAGGGATGCCAGATTTCACTATTTTTTAATGCCTTTCCCGGCGGTGATGATCACAGGAAGAGGGGAGCCAGGCAGACATGCAGCATATTTAAAATTGTGTGCATTTCAGGGTCTGACAGATCCAAATGTATGCCAAAATCAGTGTGTGTATTGAGACAGATAGGGCTGATAGTCAAAGTAACAGTTTACCTAAAATTACTTCTTTTTCCTGGAGATATTTTGTAAACATTCACTGTAAGGGGATCTGTATTACAATCAATACTGAATGTTGCTACTTTTCTTACTTTATTATTGGAGATATCCAGTTTAAAGTGTATGTATAACCAAAATATTTTTTAAAGTGGTTGTAAAGGCTCAGGGTATTTTACCTTCATGCATTCTATGCCCAACCCCCCTATTACTTACCTGAGCCCAGGGGCGGACTGACAACTCATGGGGCCCCCAGGCAATAGGGGATCATGGGGCCCCTGTGTGCTAGCCCACAGTCAAATCACACCCAAAAAAGCCTGTAAAAGGTGCCAGGGGCATTTCATGGGGCCCCCTACTGACCCCAGGCAGTGCCCAAGTGCTCAAATGGTCAGTCCGCCCCTGGCTGAGCCCTATCACAATACAGCGATGTGCACAAGAGCTCTCCAGGGATTCTCCCTCCTCATTGGCTGAGACAGCAGCAGGAGCCAATGGCTGTCAATCACAGCCAATCAGGGTGGACTGACCATTTGGAAACTCGGGCACTGCCCGAGGGCCCGGGGTCAGTAGGGGGCCCCATGAGATGCCCCTGGTACCTTTTTCATAGGCTTTTTTGAGTTTGGGCAAGGACACAGGGGCCCCATGATCCCCTATCGCCCGGGGGCCCCATGAGTTATCAGTCCGCCCCTGCAGCCAATGAGGAGAGAGAGGGGGTGGGTTGGGGCCAAGCCACGGCTTTGTGTGTGAATGGATGCACAGAGCAGTGGCTCGGGAGCAAGCCTGCTTAGGTGCCCCCATAGCAAGCTGCTTGTTCTGGGGGCTCTTGGGGGACCCAAGAAGAGGAGGATCAGGGCTGCTCTGTGCAAAACCACTGCACAGAGCAGGTAGGTATGACATGTTTGTTTATTTTTTTTAATTGCCTTTAATATCACTTTAATACAATAGGGAAGAGTCCTACCTTAATTTCCCATGTAGTAGATGCAGTAGGATGTAAGAGGAAATCTTAACAAATGTATGGGGTTGCCATCTTATAAATTTGTAACCAGAACATTCGTCCCCATTGGAGCATTTCCTCTTACGTCTTCTGGTAACAAAAATGTCCTTTTAATTTCTGTCTTGGCGATGATGGTCACCAGGGAAAGTAGAGTGGTGGATCTACCCAATGTGGACATAAGCACCATTAAAAACCTAGCACAGGGTCTAACCTTTTATCACTGTATTCAAAACTGAAAAAAAAAAAGTTTTACTCTTTTTTAAACTAAATAGCTCTCTCTTGTATGCTTAGAATCTGTTTATAAGCTTTATAATCATTCCTAGCTGCTAAGATTTCAGATCTGCCTTTCACAACTCATCAATCCTTCAGTATAAAATGTTCTGAGGCTACAAAGTTGCTTCAGTTGAGTAATTTATAGTCATATGCCAGTAACTAGAAGAAACAATGAAAGTCATATGTTTTGCTAGCTAGCAGCATTTTAGGCTCTCAGGGAGCATGGCAAAGAAGGCCTGTGAATGGCCACAGTACCATAAATGGCTTAGGCAGTCAGCAAACACCATGCAGAGAAACACAAAAAAAAAAAAGGAAAAGACGCTCACAAAACTGGTCATTGAAATGAAACTTGTATTGATCTCAGCATTATTAAGCTGGTTCTATACAGGTAGAGCAGGCATCTGTCCCAACAGCCCTACAAACTGGAGAGTTCTTTCATGTAATACTGGGGGAGATTTACTAAAACTGGTGCAGCTGTGCATGGTAGCCAATCAGCTTCTAACCTCAGATTGTTCAATCAAGCTTTGGCAATAAAACCTGAAAACTGATTGGTTTCTATGCAGAGTTGCCCCCTATTTTGCACTCTCAGGTTTTAATAAATAACCCCCACTGGCTTCACCTACAAAGTCAGTGCTTTATCCCACTCCTAAAAAACTGCCCCTTCATCTGTGTTTGTGTACTGATATTGTTTGCAGTTTGTAATTAGGCTTCCTTTATTATTTAATGTGCCCTGAAGCATAATATATGAGCATTTTATTAATAAAGCATAATACCAAAAATAATTGAAAAGTGCAAGTTAAACAACATTAAACTCAAAAGCAAATATTTATTATATTTCAGCTTACCAATTCTTAGATGTTACGGGCTACATTCATTTTTATAGGCATACATTCTTTTTTAGGCTTTTTTTCCTTTATTTTCATCTGATTATCCTGCCAGTAAGTCTATTATTTTTCAACCGGGTAAGCTGTCCTGCAGATGGAGCAGTTAGGGAGTTGAGACAAACCATTTAACACTGACAGGGGTGCTTACAGTGATCAGCTTTTATTTACTGATTTAAAACCTTTATCCCAAAAGCACCAAGACTGTTTGCTGTAATTGCTTATAAAGTGTGAGCCGGAGTTTGGCTTCAATTTGTTAGTGTATCTAAATCTGGTAGTGCATCTAACTCCCCCCCCCCTCTTACTGACAATGCTACAGTCCAAAGGTGTAAAAAATGATAAAAATACAGCGAGCGTTCACAACAAAATAAATAAATTATAGAAATAAATTATATGTCACCAGCTGCATATGCACCAACGTAGGAACCCTAAAACATCAATAAATATAGAAACAGTGCAGCCCTAAAAATATACTAATTTAAATTTGGTTATCAATGAAAATAACCTCAGAAATCAGTGTTGATAATCACAATTATAACATAAATATAAGTGAATGTGGCGTATTATCAATCACCAAACAAGAACGTGGTTATATGAATAGTCTATAAACCAAGAAAGTGTTCAATGATAGTGCAGGCTTGACGTGATCAGGTCAGCAAATTTGTGCTCCATCAACATATAATACTTTGTGCCTTTCAGTAAATCCATGTGATACAATCCGTGCAAGAGACTCTATAAAATGCGCACTCACCAGATGCACATAAAACATGTGCATTAAGCTGAATATGACTCTGCAGGGAGCCCCTTTAAGTAGATCTGTCAGACAGCCTAGAACAAGAATCCCTCCTCTGGACACAAGCCTCCTCTGCAGCCACGATTCCTCTGGGGTCCTCTGTAATCTTTAGCTCAGGTCAGAGTCAATAATATAAATGCCTCCTCTGCTGTGACTGCTATTCTGCTATGACCAGATTAGCCTTTCCTTCAAGTGGTGCCCCACTGGGATCCTTGCATTATATTTATATTTTAGTCCAAAGGTGTGCTTCTTCATCCAGAGTGGGAGCAGGAGGTGTGTTACTGGCCAGATTACCAGGGGAAAACAGAAGATAAAAAGAATAAAAAAAAGAAGACTAATGCAGCCACCACATCTAATGATTGATAAGCTGCAAAATAGTACATTTTGGGTTTAATACCACTTTAAGAGTAAAGTAACGGCAGTAATGCCATAAATTGGATTACCTTGGATGATTGGAGAGGCACACTCACCATAAAGTTTATATCTTCTTACCTCACATGCCAGCTCTCTACAATCTGACAGTGCTGAAAGGGTCATACCAGCAGCAGCTTTCTGGATCCAGGTCCTTTTCTGACCACCTCCACTGCCATAAATCTGATTAAGGGGGGAAGCAGTTTCTCCAAAACATGTGGGCCTTACCTATCACCTGTGAACTAACTGTTTTGATACACTTCTTTAACCACTTGCCCTCCAGCGGATTTACCACCCTTCCTGACTAGGCCATTTTGTGCGATACGGCGCTGCGTTCCTTTAACTGTCAAGCAACACTGTACATAAATGAGATTTATGTCCTTTTTTCCCCCACAAATAGAACTTTCTTCCAGTGGTATTTGATCACCTGTGCATTTTTTATTTTTTTTCGTGCTAGAAATAAAAAAAGACCGCCAACTTTGAAAAAAAAAAAACATTTTTGACATTTTGCTATAAAACAGTAAAAAATTTTAAAAATCAAATGTCTTCATAAATTTAGGCTAAAATGTATTCTACTACATGTCTTTGCTAAAACAAATCCCAATACAAATAGCGGATTATATACTGGAATTTAAATTTTTTAAATTTTTTTTATATAAGTAATGGTGGCGATCATTGACTTTTAGCGGGACTGAGGGACTGCAGCAGTTATTCTGACACTGACATCCCAATGACACTAATACAGTGATCAGTGCTAATGAAAAGTACTGACACTCTACTAATGATAGGAAGGGGTTAACATCTGGGGCGATCAAAGGGTTAACTGTGTGCTGTTTTACATAATGTGCTGTGTGTTTTACTAGGGAAACATTCTGCTTTGTATTTCTCTGTTGTGCAGAGAAATACACAGCAGCATGTTGTTTGCTGGCAGGAGAGAGACCTGTGTTGTTTACACCCAGGTCTCTCCCCTGTCAGTTTTACTTGACGATTGCCGAATGCCGGTGGGGAATCTCCGGCTGGGACCCGGTGATTGACATGCATAGCTGCCAATAGCGTGCCCCCTGCCCAGAAATGCAAATCTCGTATATATACGTGATTTTGCGCAGCCCTGTAGCAGTAGTTCCACTATAGGGTGGCGGGCAAGCGATTAATATAACCACAAATGTGAGGAACCTTTATTATAAGAGCGCCTCTACACTCATCCTCTTATCCTGCTGAGAATCTTTCCATGGCTTTCAGAGAGGCAGCAACCTGAGACCTAATATTAAACAGTGCTGCGCTAGTATATCCATAAATCAAATTTGTTGCCACAACACAAAACTCACAGAGATATTGTATTATAAAATGTTTTTAGTAATTTTATTACAAAACATTAAAAAACAACTCTATCACAATATTAAGTATAAAACCACCACAACATTCTAATATGGCTTAAAGATCTGCGCAGTATAGTTCAGCTCTACATGTTTCGCCACAATTTTGACTTCCTCAGGAGACTTATGAATACTGCAAGAAATACCACTAGAATAAAAAACAACACTTGTCAATACACCATCAAACAAATAAATCCAATATATAATAAAAACACATACAGATTGACTGTACATGACAAGGGATCTCCATCCATACAAATGAGGTTGCATGGCATTGACAAATTTGTGTAGTGACCGGCGCTTGCACGACTTGCTGTACGGGGCGGACAGGCAGGTAAGTAGCTTTAATGCAGAAGAGGCACAGCATGTCTCTTCTGCATTAAAAATCCTGCATGTCCATTTTTACTGTGAAGTTCCACTTTATGTGTCCTGGAAATTTCAGCTTGTGATGCAGGTTTAGGCTTTAGACATTTGCTACATTGCAAAAACACGGTATAAACACATATGCTTTTTTGATGCATTTTTGTACACATTTATGGTGCTTTTTGAAGCAGTGAAAAAAGGACACGTGACTCCAAA